TCTATCTTTTTACTTTGTGTCCTTTTTCTTTCCACACAAAATACATGATAGCTATTATTACTAATAACGATAAAACACTAAAAGCAAGTAAGAAAATATTTTGTACAACTCGAGTTGCAGAAATGTAAAAATTTGGATGAAATAGCTAATTCTGTATAAAATATATACATTAAGATTTGACTCAAAAGGAAGTAGAAAACTTAGAAAGACTGAAAATATGGAAGCTGCCAAAAAAAAATTTTGAGAGGAAATTAGCTTCAATACTGATCGAAGGCCTGATGGTTTAGAAGTGAGTTCCTGACTTCAAGAATCAGGTAATTCTCATGCTACTATGTAAAATTTTGTGAATCTAGAAAAAGTTCTGCTCATACACCTTGTATTATTTTGGGTAATGTTGATCGGCATAGCTTTCCTAATATAGTTCATGTCTTCTCCTGTTATAATGTAGGAAGAGTCCAGGCCTGAGTCCTTGGTTGTGATGGGTGAATAGGAAGAAGGAAGAGGCCGTAAATAGGTCCTCAATATATGTTCATTGAGTGAATGAATAAATGAGTGAGTGAATGAATGAGTGAGCAGAAGTATACTTTGATCACTTTATGAGATTAGCAGAAACCTTGATACTAAAATAGAACTTAAAAAGAACTATAAACCTATCTCTTATGAATACATATGCAGAATTCTAAATAAAATTCTAGCAAACCAAATTCACCAGTAGATGAAAAGAATCATGCAGTATGACCAAAGAGGGTTTATCCTGAAACTGCCAATAATTTTCTTAATAGAAAACTATTGTGAAGTATTACAGCCATTTTGGAAAGCAAGCTAGCGATATCTATTAGAGCCAAAGATATGTATGTTCTTTGAGCCAGCTAGCCTACTCCTGGGAATCCATCCCACAGAAGTAAAATCATGAGTGCATGAGGACACATGAACAAAAAAATTTTCTGCAGCATTGTTCATGTTGGCAAAAAAATGGAAGCAAAGTTAATGCCCATCAGTAGGGGAGAAGTTGAGTATATTATGATACATCTACCCTTCAGAATCTTATATGATCTTTAAAGAGAATGAATTAGAGTGCTATCAGATGATTTTCACAAGATATTGAGTGATAAAAGCAAGGTGTATAAAAGGATATATTACATCCCAAATAGTCTAAAACCAAAAACCAAACTCACTGCTGTCGAGTCGATTCGACTCATAGAGATCCCTCTTTGGGTTTCTGAGGTGGTATCTCTATGGAAGTAGATTGCCCAATCTTCGTTCTGAAGAGTGGCTGGTGGGTTTGAACCACCAGCCTTCTGGTTAGCAGCTAAAGTCTATCCCCCACTGAAAAGCAAAGCAACATAAAATAGAAAAACAACAAAACCCCACAAAAAACCAAAGGAACTCAAACAAAGATCTCTGTGTCTGTATATTTATTAGTTGAATAATGTTGGGAATGATTTTAATACTTTTGACCTCAGTTTCCTTTCTTGTAAAGCTGGCGTGATCATAATGCACATCTTAGGATTTTTGTGAAGATTAAATAAGTTAGTGTATATAAAGTGCCTGGTACAAAGAAAGAACCTACTAACTATTAGCTGGCGGTTCAAACCCACCAGCCACTCCTCGGAAGGAAGGTTGGGCAATCTACTTCCATAGTGATATCGCCTTGGAAACCCAAGGAGGGGTTGCTATGAGTCAGATCCAACTCAATGGCACATGACAACAACAACAGCATCATTATATTTGTAGATCTGAACAGAATATGCAGAATTCCAAGAAAAATATGGAAGGCAGTATATTACATTATTAATCTGGTTATATGTAATAAGGGAGTAATGTGGTTGAGGCAGGCAGGAAGAGCCAAGTAAATAAGGAAAATAAAATAAATGTATGTTTTACATTTACATATGCATTTGGAATTATGACATTTAGGAATATGTATAAAGAAATTAAATTGAAAGATGGTAAAAATGGGAGCTCTGGTAGTGCAGTGCCTAAGGCATTTGACTGCTAAACAGAATGCTGGCAGTTCAAACCCACCAGCCACTCCTTGAAAGGAAGATTGGGCAACCTACTTTTGTAGTGATACTGCCTCGGAAACCCAAGGAGGGGTCACTATGAGTCGGATCCGACTTGACAGCAGTGAGTTTGGTTTTTGGTTTTGGAAAAAGAAAAATTAATCTATTAATAAGAATTAATGGATCCAATAAGAAGAAAATAGTACAAAATAATACATGCTGAAAGGCACTTCCTAAAGTTTTATCTCTTCTTAAATACAAGTCTAAGAAAGTTTTGAAAGATACTTATTTAAAGATACAAAGGTAAATAGTTTAAACACCAGCCATCATCAACTTTGATGGGAAAATGCTAGAGCAGTGTTGCTCAGGGTGTAATTTCTGGAATACTAACTTTGCAAGTGGTAAAAAAAGGATTCTATCATCCAATACTTTGGGAGCATGCTGTATAATAAGTAGCCCACACCAGAATCACAATAAAATTAGTGTGGCAAAGGTCTGAGAAGCCCCTTTCATCCTTTACATTTCTGGTAAAATGTCACTTTTTCAGAGTTATTGTCCCTGGTCACCTTATGTCCTCTTCCCTCAATTCTCTGTCACATTCTCTATTTCCTTAAATTGTAGCCATTAATTAAGAGAACCCCATTACAATTCACTGATGTCTTCATGAGACCTTTCTCGTTTTGTGTTTTAC